GAGAGAGGGGTTAAAAGGCGCAGTAGTTACAACTAGAGAAGGAGCCTCGCCAGGGGACAAGGTAGTCACCACTGGGGGCTTGGGGCTCGACCCAACCACAGAGGAGGGAGGGGAGCCAGGGAAAGGAGTCAGAGAGGCCAAAGGAGGAGCAAGGTCGGGGCCCAATGCAGCGGAGGCTACAGAGCCCGGTCTTCCAATACGGACCGACTCGGGGGCTTGGTCGCCCACCCCACGAGCCTGAGAAGGTAAGCCAGAAGCAGCCGAAACAGGGGTTATCATCTTGACGAAAAGAAGAATTCACTCACGAATGTGCCCCCACACCCACCGTGGAGCCACAATTAGAGGCAGGACACCCAACAAGAAGCTATCGCCGATCATGCTGGGGCCTCCTAGGGGTGCGTCGTGAGTATACGCCCCACAAACGCCACCTTAAGAAACCGACAGTCCGTCGAGATCGGGTTCAGTGACGAAGTGGGGATTGACAATAAAAGGTTCCCCTCGCTCTCTACGTCGGGTACTGCAGTTCTACGGGTGCATGAGTATGCCTCCTCAAGCACCTGGGCGTCAAAATAGAAGAAGTCCATGGAAGAACCAGAACGAGCAAAAGGTCGGCAGGAAACGGCAAGCAGATAGGAGAAGAGGGGGGAGAAAAACGAAACAGAAGGAAAAGGAAAAGGTGCCCAGCAGAATTGGAGAGGACGGCAGCAGGAGCACAAGGCTAGAAAAGGACAGAGGACTGTCCTAAGGAGCATCACACTCCGGCAGCCGCTCACGAAGCCCCCACACGGCGACAACGAGCTGAGCGGGGAGGGGGTTCGGGCTGTACCCCACTACAGTTCTGAGAGCCTTGAGTCTGTCTCTACATTGTTGATGTAACTTATTGACTGCAGTTGAGGTACAAGGGACAGAGACTCCAAGGTATTTGAAAGAAGAGACATAGTCTATTGGTATGTTGTCTATCTTAAGTTTTCGTGGTCCACTTTTGCGGTTGCCAATTTGTCTGTTAAATACCTTAGTTTTAGCAGCGTTGATTACAAGACCAAGGCTCTCACAAGCTGTATGTATACAATTTAAGACTGCATTTCGCGGTGGGTTTTAGTATGCACAAGGATGTCATCTGCATAGCTGATAGTGATGTTTGCCGGACTAGTTGGGATTGATTTTAGTAAAGCATTAATTAGAACATTAAACAAGGTAGGACTAAGTACTCCTCCTTGTGGGGTGCCTAGTTGCATTACTTTAGTTTCACTCTTGTAGCCTTGGAACAGTGCAGAGGACTTCCGGTTGGTAAGATAGCCTCGTATCCATTGTAATAAATGTCCCCCTATATCCATTCTCGCTAATTCATACATAATCACTTCCCTATTAGCAATATCAAAAGCATTTTTTAAATCAAGAAATGTTGTGTACTTGTGCCTTTTATCTCCATGAACAGTAAGAAAGGTTGTGATACAGTTGTGTACACTTTTACCATGTGTGAAACCATTGATATCAGGTGACATGTGCTCTTTAACTCTATACAATAATCTATTAAGCACCATTCTCTCAAAGGTTTTGCACATGCAACTGGTCAGTGAGATGGGACGGAAAGCATCAGGTTGTCCAGGCTTTGGTACAGGTACCGTAAGACTGGTGGTCCATGATACAGGCAACTGCCCAATGACATAGCTGGCATTAAACAATTCTAATAATGGGTTACCGGGTACACGATGTAGGATTCTTAGAATATCATAGGTGATACCGTCCTCACCAGGAGCAGTGCTCCTGCCCCTGGAGAGGGCTGCATCCAATTCATAATCTGTATATGGAACATCACATTCATCATGTTGCTTGCCCAACATGAAATTTATGAGAGCATTTCTGTCTGTGGACTTCTCCCGCAATTTCTCCCTAGTGCTAGCTGGTAACATTCCAAGGCTGGAAACCTGAGCCCATTTTGCAATTAACTGATTGGCTTTCTGTAGCGGGTTTGGGTGTGAAACTTGTCTACTATTTTTACCAATAATTTTGTTTATGCCTTTCCAGGCTTTGCCCAGGGGAGTATGCAGGTTAAGTCCACTAACAAAACCCTCCCATTTATTTTGTCTCAGTTCAGTCATTCTCTCCCTTGCCGCTGCAAGCGCGGCCTGAAACAGTTTTAACATTTGAGGAGTTCTAAGGTTCTTATATGCTTTACCTGTCTGTCTATCAATTGATTTAAGCTCTTTCAGTTTAGCATCATCATAGTACTGGTTGTGTCTGACCTGTTTTCCAGTACTTCTTTTTGTTTGGCGTAACTCACTATTTTTGATGGCCTCATAGGTATTATTTATGAGGTCATCATAAAACTGTTGTACATTCTCAGGCTCATAATTGTTATACCAATGTTCTATGCTGTCTATAAAGAATTTTTCTTGCTCTTTCCTTACTGTTAGCCTGCGTCTACTCAGCTTAGTGCCAGGTAGGTCAACATTAGCCACGTGTATGTTAGCTGTTATGGCTAAATGGTCAGACATTAAGTCATCCATAATATCAGTCTCATGAGTTGTGTATGACAGGTTAAAGCCAATGCACCTATCTAGGACTCCTCCATATATTTGCGTTGGTTGATTCTTACTGATAATTTGAACATCATCATATGCATCGAGAAGTGCCAACAATCTTCTCCCGTTGGTGTTTGTAAGTTGATCCCCTAATTGTTTGTGTTTAGCATTTAAATCCCCAATTAATATTGTAGAATCAGTATGTGCAAAACTAGGTAGGTCAGTATACTGGAAGAGGCCAGTAGGTGCATAGGCATTCAAAACATTAAGTGTAGAGTTACCAACGTGTACCCGGATACCAGGATATTGAAACCCCTCTCGTTGTTGGGCGGGAAGTGGCTCATGCGGCAGGGATTTTTTAACATACATAAGGCACGTATTTTTTGATCTGGGATTATAACACTGATAACTAGGCAAATTCTGCGGGGTTTTACCTGCGGGAGTTAGGGTTTCTTGGAGGCAGACAATATCTATGTCTTCAGTCAGAACCTTATGATGGAGGTCTGAATACCGTTTTCTAAGAGAAGCAATATTCCAACTGAGTATCTTGATGACACTGTACTTGTTCTTATGAGATTCAGAGGCCGCCATTGTTCTTTTGTACTTTATCAGTCTGCAGTTTCAGGAAAGCAAGTATGTCTACATACCGGTTGTAGTGCTTTATTACCGCTTCTTTTTCCTCTTCAGTCAGCACATCACCTGTCACCATTTCTTTAAAAGTGTCACGGCGGAACCATCTGGGATGTGGCGTGCGCGGCCCGAGGCGGGCATCCACGTCCAGTTGAACTTCGTCACTATCACTACAAGCGTCACTGGTTTCACTTTGTTCTTTACCACAATCACTTTCAACATTTCCACTACTGTATTCCTTCAAACAGAGTTTATTAGACCCGGTATCAACATCTTGATCGTCATCACCATTAAAGTTCTCACCCTCAGTGTCACTACGTTCATCATCAGGATCAGTTGACCCATAATACACATCGACAGCACTATGCGTTTCTACGTGGAATAGTTTACCTCTGTTCATAGCGCACTGTGTTGATGAGGCTGGGGTGTGGGGAGCCGTGGTGGGAGAGCCCAGCTGGTGTGAGGGCTGGGACACCCCCTGCTGGGGTCTCCCCTGGGGTACTGGCCGCATGGGAGCACATGGTGGTACCCCAGGTTGGTGTGGCCTGCACTCAGTTATTAATACTCTCACAGTTTCCTGAAGAGTGGTTATCATCGTCTTTTGGTGCATGAATTCCTTATTTTGTTCGGTTATCTGCTTGGTCAGGTTTTCCACAATTTTGTTTTGTTTTTCTACTGTATGCATAAGCTCACTAATTTTCTGTGCCTGATCCAGGCCCCCCGACCAACATGAATTGGTAGGGCCTACAACTGTGTCACTCGAGCTACTAGCCGTGGCGTTGGAGTGGTTGGGTAAGGGAGGGGAGTGTGACCGAGTGACCGGTGGGGGGCACAGCAAATTTTTCAGGAGTATCCATTCTTCCTGTGTAGGAGATCAATGATCTACCTCTAGGCTGACATTGTCTTGTAGCCAATTAGTTAACACTGTTTTATATTTTATTGGGGGCCGGGCCTTTATGATCTCCCTTAATGGTGATTCCTCCTGATTCTAACTTCTGACTCTACACCATAATAATACTAGATCCCCCATAGCAGCCAACATTTATAACAGTAATCATTCATGTTCATACTTGATGGACTAAGCCTATCATACAGTAAGATAAGGCACCTCAATTTATTTACAATAATATATGTAGTTTAATACTGTAATTTGATTGGCTGATATATATATATATATATATATTATAATATATATATTAATATATATATTATATATATATATATATATATATCAATTTAATATAAACCCCTCTAATGTGCAAGGAATCGAGTTGTGAGATTATTGCAAAAATACAGTCCACTAACACCATAAAAATTGCTATCGAAAATATAAATTAACGTGTATATAAATTCTATATTCATTCATATAAATCAAATAAATAAAAATCTCACGATATTGTACATGTGACTACTACACATTATATACATGACTAATATATATAATGTAGATGTGACTAATACACATAGTGAGCGCAGGACTAATAATCATTATGATCATGTGATTTATATGTATATGTCACATGAGAGTACAACAGGTACAACAAGGACCAGTTAGCGGGGACTGAAGAGCTAGAACCCACTTATCTGGTGAACTAATAGGTAAGATGAGCTAGGTTAGCACTGAACGTTAAGACCAGCTATTTATAAGTAAATCATTTATGAATATCACTGAATTTCGTGAGGAAAGAAATACATTGACAACAGTGAAAATAAAAAAATATTCACCGAAAATGTAGAGAAATATATTTGCACTTTAATGAAGAGACAGGATCTATGTACTTAAAATATCAGGCTGAGTTTGCAAGATTTTATCTCTGTTACATAAGACTGCGTGACGGGTGGGGTTTACTGTCTCCACGAACCTCTTCCCTCAGGCAGTCAGTGACTCGCTGGCTGTGAGTGGTGGTGAACGTCGTTGTGTCGCTGAGGCTGGCGCTAGGCGGAGACTGTTCACAGCTGTCGTAGAAAGACGAAGACAGACGCTCCAAGACGGGTGATACGACTGTTATAAGTGACGAACGACAGACGGCGCTAATCAAGAGAGAAACGGACGACAACAATACAAACCTGACAAGGATGTTGGCAGAGAGTGTGTTGATAACTGGGTGCAGCCGCGGGCTGGGGCTGGAGATGGTGCGGCAACTGGTCACGTCAGACAGTGCCCCGCGGGTAGTACTGGCCACCTGCAGGAACCCGGACAGTGCCAAGGTAAGGCGCTCTTACACTTGAGTCACACAGTTCTTCCTTAATTATTGCTACTTGTGATGAATGAAGACGCTGTGCTGCTTCTGAGACGAGTAGATATGATTAGAAAGTTACAAAAGTATGTTAGCGGAACTTTCCAGCATTTTATATATTGTAAAAGTAAATTTAGGGGTTTATGTACTTTCATATTTGCAACAATGGAGTTTGATTAGTTTATAACAAACTTCTTATCCATGAGGGTGGTGGACCCAATACTCATCCTGGGTACGACGAACCTCACATCTATCCTGTGAGCGATGGACCTCACACCTATCCTGTGAGAGATGGACCTCACACCGATCCTGTGAGCGATGGACCTCACACCTATCCTGTGAGCGATGGACCTCACACCGATCCTTTGAGAGATGGACCTCACATCGATCCTGTGAGCGATGGACCTCACACCTATCCTGTGAGAGATGGACCTCACACCGATCCTGTGAGAGATGGACCTCACACCGATCCTGTGAGAGATGGACCTCACACCGATCCTGTGAGCGATGGACCTCACACCTATCCTGTGAGAGATGGACCTTACACCATTCCTGTAGGCGATAGACCAACTACCAATCCTGTGGGTGGTGGAATCCACTCATGTGGGTGGAGGACCTCATATCCATCCTATGTTCGGTGGACCCATACACATCTTGTGGGTGACAGACCCACTATCCACCATCCTGTACGTGGCAGATTCCATACCTATTCTATGGACAGTGGACACAATACGGATACTGTGAGCTCAGGATCTTGAATCCAATACCGATCCTAAAGGCGGTAGACCCCTCCTTCAGGGTCTTCAGGGAGGGAGATATGGACCACACCCATCCTGTGGGCGGGAGATACCACACCCATCCTGTGGGCGGGAGATACCACACCCATCCTGTGGACGAGTGATACCACACCCATCCTGTGGACGGGTGATACCACACCCATCCTGTGGGCGGGAGATACCACACCCATCCTGTGGACGGAGATACACACACCTGTGGGCGGGAGATAACACACCCCTTTGATACCACACCCATCCTGTGGGCGGGAGATACCACACCCATCCTGTGGACGGGTGATACCACACCCATCCTGTGGGCGGGAGATACCACACCCATCCTGTGGGCGGGAGATACCACACCCATCCTGTGGGCGGGAGATACCACACCCATCCTGTGGGCGGGGAGATACCACACCCATCCTGTGGGCGGGTGATACCACACCCATCCTGTGGGCGGGTGATACCACACCCATCCTGTGGGCGGGTGATACCACGCCCATCCCGTGGGCGGGGAATACCACACCCATCCTGTGGGCGGAGGATACTACACCCAACCTGTGGGCCGAGGATACTACACCCATCCTGTGGGCGGGAGATACCACACCCATCCTGTGGGCGGAGGATACTACACCCATCCTGTGGGCGGAGGATACAACACCCATTCTGTGGGCGGGAGATAACACACCCATCCTGTGGGCGGGAGATAACACACTCATTCTGTGGGAGGGAGATAACACACCCATTCACACCCATCCTGTGGGCGGGAGATAACACACCCATTCTGTGGGAGGGAGATAACACACCCATCCTGTAGGCGGGGGATATCACACCCATTCTGTGGGCGGGAGATAACACACCCATCCTGTGGGCGGGAGATAACACACCCATTCTGTGGGCGGGAGATAACACACCCATTCTGTGGGCGGGAGATAACACACCCATTCTGTGGGCGGGAGATAACACACCCATCCTGTGGGCGGGGGATATCACACCCATCCACTGACCTGTCACTCGTTTAAGATAATTTACCGCTAAGATGTCATCTGTTTTAGGATTAAATTTCAGTCCAGTTTTCAGGAAATATTTCAGAGTTCCCATGTTCATAAAATATGTTCATAGGAGTTTGTTAGAGAGTTCGTATAGAGAAAAATAAATCTAATATTTTTTATTTTGTCCTTGCTACTTAGAGAGTTCTTGTGGATAAAAACTAAACTCTACGAACTTACGTTTCTGTTTTGAGAAAGTAAATTTACAGTATCCGAAGTTAGTTCTTGGACCCGGCATGTACGTTTATAAGTGTAGTTTCGCTACTATTAAACTAATTTTGACCCAATTTAAAACACTCATATTTCACATGCAGTGAGAAAAGATATAAAGTTACCGAGCTCCGGCTCTTGTCCCTGCCTTTCTTCATTCACACAACTTGCTTATTATCTACCCAGTTTCCCTGAAATTCAAACTCTCTGTATTTTGGATGCAGTATATAAGATCAAATAGTCATCAAGTCTCAGCTCCCATGTCCCTGCCTTAGTTGGTTCGTATAACTTCATTAATAACGGATCAAATCCCTTGAAATTTAAAACCGCTATATTCCGTATATAGTAAATTAGATCAAAGCAATTACCAAGTTCTAGCCCCAGTCACCGCCTTAGTTTCCTCTCGTATCTTCATTAGTATGTTCTCAAATCCCCTAAAATTTAAACCCTCTGTATTTTAGACAATGGTGGTACCACACCCATCCTGTGGGCAGGTGTGATAAATCAAAAGCAAATACTGAGCTCCGGCTCTTGTCCTCCGTCTTAGCTCCATATTCATCAATCTTAGTTATTCCAGAACATCAAACCGGCTGTCATCCTTTACTTTATCAAAGTTAACAGGATTCGAACCACACCTTCAACACACCTGTGTAAATATCCTTATCTCTCCCATTCCTCCATGTCCCAAACGACCGCCCTCTCACTTATCTCCCTCTAACACCCTGTTCTCACCTCCCCCCCTCACCTCCGACCATCCCCGTCCCCATATCTTCCCCCTCCACACCTGACTCTTTCTCACCCTCTATTTCCCCCGCGCTCTGGTCTGTGCTCTTATCACCCTCACCTACCCCGTGTTATCTCTCTCTCTCACCCCCCAGGTCCCCATCCCTCGTATCTCCCACTCTCTCCCCTTTCCCAACTCCACCCAAACCTCTCCCTCACCTCTTCTCCAACTCCACCCAAACCTCCCCTAGAATTTCAAAATGCAGCTATTATCAAATAATAATCTTACCGTATTTTTGTCAATACTCGAGTTTAAATTCGTAATATACTCTTGACATATTCATTCCATAATTTTATGTTCTCAACATGTTTTGCAAATGTTCCCAGCACGTTCTCTGGGTTCATCGCATTCTCTTACATATTCTCTGTTTTCTTTGCATGCTCCATGAGATTTAAAAAGCTATTACCATGTATCTTATCATATTTTGCATGACTCATATATAAATACACAACAGCTCCATCCTTTACATGTCCTAACGTGTTCTTCGCTCATCTCACTACCCTTTCTTACAATTTCCTCAGCCATCCTTCCCTTCCTCCGTTACATGTCCCCATGTTCTCCACTCATCTTGTTATTGCTTCTTACAAGCTCCCTCAATCCTTTACATGTCCTACTGTGCTCTCTGCTCATCTTGGTACCCTTTCTTGATATTTTCCGCCATCCATACTCTACCCATTCTGATGTGTTCTCTAGTTTCATCGCTTTTCCTTACATGTTCTCCGTTCGTCACGTTCTCTTACATGTTCTCTGTTTGTTTAAAATCAAATGTACAATTGTTTCTACCATTCAGTAATTAGTTCATTCATATATATTATCAACTCCATTACTGTCCCCTTAACAAATTAGTTAAATTTCATTTAATTTTCAAATTATTTAGTTACAAATTATTTAACTATTTACGAATTATTACGAATTTAGTTACAAAGTATTTGTTTAATAATTTTCTGAGGTTTATTTACAATCAACAATCAATTATTACAATCATTTATCAACTTATTATTGTTTACCAATGCTGTTCTTAAACATTTTCTTACATTTTATGCAGTAACAAATTTACTAAGACTTTTTTTTAACGTTTCTTAACTAAAATCATTCTTCATTCAGCTTTAAAATAGTCACATTCATCATCATTACATCATTTCCTAACTAGTATTACCCTTTATGCAGTATTAATTACCCTAAGATATTCTTTTCATACCTTATATTAACTCAGGGTACACTCAAATTAGTTTAAGGTAACATCTTTTCATCATTTCAAAACTAAAATAACCATTTCCTTAACTGAAAATAGTCAAGCATAACTTATTTCAACACTTTCTTAACTAATATTATGATTCAAATGACAATCTCATTCCGATGAGATTGGAATAAGACACAATAAGTCCTCTTTATGGAAGGACACACACTCAGTCTTCAAGGTAACACTCAGAGACATCAGTGACACACTCAAACACTCAATTAGTTGAAGATATAGACAGGAATTTCCTAACCCAACATGTGGAGGAAGACACAAGGAAAAGAGGAGATGATACACTGAGCCTATTAGACCTGATTTTCATCCAGAACAAGAAAGACATTGAGAATTTGTAATATGAAATACCACTAGAAGCCAGAGATCATTGTGTCCTAGCGTTTGACTACATGATCGAACTTAAAATTATAACCACGAAACACGAGGTCTGGGGAAAGGCAGATTGAACTTTTTTTTTTTTTTTGCAGGGATATTCCTGCACGGGCTCCTAAGCCTCTGACTGGCCCACTAAGTGTTACTTGTTTCTGTTTAGGCGGAGTATGAGCATTTATGACTCGTATGTTCGCTTCAGTAAGATTATGCCTTATGTATTTAACAACTTCTTCTGTTCTGTTGAATCTAAGTTGAAATCTTATTGGGATTGTAACTCTGTACTGTGTTAGATAATGTTCCAGTGGTCTGTCGGGCATTTTTCCTAAGTGCTGACATTTCCTCTCTTCTTCTGGAACCTGTAAGCCTATTTTCCATGCACATGGCTATCCAAGCCTGATGTGATGTAAGTGTACTTCTGTTGTTCTATTGATCCCTTTCATCAAAATCCATAAGCCGCAGTTCCTGATTTGCAACTGCTGTGTTGTGGTCACTGTACATCTTTTGCATTTCTCTGTGATAGACTCTGTAGTA